TCAACAAGTCGACGAGAATTTCTGCACCGCTTTGGAATACGGTTTGCCGCCAACGGCTGGTTGGGGCATGGGTATCGATCGATTGACAATGTTCCTCACTGATACAAATAATATTAAAGTAAGTAATTTGTTAACTATTTATATAATGAATGAAATAAAAACATCTATTCCACTTTTATATAGAGAAAGTTTTTTGGAAAGATTTTTTGAACCGTTATCAATATGCTTTCATTTGACTTTGGAAATTTATTAAACTTTTTTATAGGAAGTATTGTTCTTCCCTTTGATGAAGCCGGATGATCCAAATAAGAACAAAGAAGATGATAAAACAAGCGAAAATGGAGAAAAATAGAACAGACAATAATTAAAAAAATAAACTAAAAAGCTATACTAATTATTTAAAACTTCAATTTTTTCTTTGGTAACAAAACTTTTGATATTTTTTATTTGACGAAAAGTGAAAATTATTTATGTATATTTAAATAGAAAAATTTAGTTAGAACATGAAAATTGAGTAAAACTAATTATCTTCTTTTGTATATTTATTTGACACCCGATTACGACACATCCATTACAACAAAATATATTATGTTCACAAAACCGCAAGAAAATACCATCATGTTGTGTATATTTTACTTAATGATTTTTTATTTATTTATTTCCACATTTGTTCTTTATATCATTATATAGTACATAATATATATTATATCAAGATATACAGTTCAAGAGTACATTATTCAAAACGCACTGTAGACATTATTTGCTTCGATCAACAATCTACAGCATTGGATTTATGTGTAACTTGTTCTATGAATTGCAATTTTGAAGGACATGAATTTTCATTAGGGAAACTATTATAAAAAAAAGCCAACCTGTCTAAACTTTTGCCAACATTATTTCTGTTCTGATGGACTTCATATTCAGGAAGGATGTGACAGTCACTACGATAAACACGGGCAATATGTATGCAGTAACAGAATAATATTTATGTAATGTGTGTATATTTTTCAGAACAAGCCGAAGAACACTGACTCTTAATAAGTACTTGCATATTTGCAGGCAGCATATTTATATTGTCTGATATTCAATTACAGAATCATTTTTTACAACTTGGTTTTAATTATTAAATATAATAACACAACAGTTCTGACAAAGCTTACATCTAATTTGTCGCAATATCAGTTTGTCGATAGTTGCGTTGTATATTTTGTTTGTTTAATTTATTTAAACAGTCTTAAAATTTCATTGCACGTTTAGCGCAAAATGAACTGAAATCTATTTGTCTAATAATAAGAAATCTCACATATACACAATTATAAATGTTAATATCACAAGAGATGCAGGTGTCTACTCTATTTTTAATAGTAAGAGTTCACTGTTATCTCAACTGCCATTAAATCCCATATGTTCCATAAGCAGCATATAGTTTACACTATTAACGAAGTTTTAAAATTACATATTTAATACTAAATATGCGATGAAAATGTGGGGTCTATTGGATGTACTATTTTAGAATTTAAGAGTTACATTAGCAGCCGAAGTTCTTTTATATACATAGGTCGAAATTTTAATGCTTAAATTTATCAAGATGTTTCTATTGACAGTATAATTGATATGTATTCTGCATTTAACTACTAGTAAACAAGAAAAATTCTAAAGAGTGTACGTCACTATTAATCTTTTGATACTGTAAATAATAATCGTACTTATGGATCAAAAATATTTCTTGCTTTTTCCTCTTTTTTAAAGCATGGTCTTTTAATTTTAAAAACTTTGAGGGATTTCTATTTTATATACTTATTCTTTAACAATTATTTTAATAATTATTGTATATATTTAATGACAGTTGTCTGCTTCTGCTCCGCAACAGATCGGGGAGTCGTCTTTTCATTTCTTCTTTTCCACTTTTTCGACTTCTTTCAATTCCTGTTTTTCCTGCATTTCCTGCGTCCGTTTGTGCTCTCTTGCTTAACTGAACACAGTCCGGGATTCATAGTAAAAAGATTCTTAAAAGAAACAAAAAAATAAATAAACAAATAAACGCGGAGCCGGTGCTCCGGAATTCCGTTGAATGCCGGAGAATTCCCCGTCGAGAAGAATCCATTCCGGGATTCCGACGCCGCTCTCCCTTATCTGTGAACGATGTTTTGTAATCGCGATGTGTGGGTGCGGACGAATTTCTTTGAAAACAAATAAAAGATTTTTAACGACTGCAACGAGGAAAAGAGTTTCGCAGTGTGTCTGTTATTTCTGCCTTTATATCGTATGATTTTTTTGTTCTTCCCCATCCTCTTTACATTGTAATCAGTCTTTGTATAAGTTTTCTACCCGCCATCGTCTACTTGACAAATTTTTGACGTACACATTTTGCACATTCGCAAAGATTGTCGTTTCCTATCCTACATATCGTTCATAAACGCTGTAAATTTCCCTTTTTGTTTTTATCTTCTGACGTATCTCGTGCTTATATTTCTCGCACGAAACATTTTACTACGAATCAAGTAATTAAGTAGTAAAAAGTATGCACGTACCTGACAATGGTCGTCGTTACGCACTTTCGCTGTTCAATTCGGCGAGAAAGTAGCTCTTGGAAGACACGCGAAAACGTGATTTCTTCTTTACTTACGAGAGAAGCACTTGCGCACACATCGGAAATTTGTCGATGAATCTCCCGACGACAATGATCGCGGGAAAGACGAAACAATCGAGCGCTCTTTCTCCGTGACTCACTTTGCGTTCGTATCGAAGAACGATTCTCGAAATATCGATGCGAGCGAGTTTCGCGACAAAGATCGAATTCGAGACTTCAAGAATGCTCTCGAGATATGGGTAGTAATTTTACATTTCTTTTTTTTTTAACAAATTATTTTCACAGTAATGTCAAAACATTATACGCGCGGGCGCGAAACACATTCGAGACACAAACACACACAGAAACGAGATGCAAGAAATGTACATGTTCACTCAGGTGAATTGGCATTCAGAAGAAAAGATTTTATTTGCTAATCATTTCACAGTATCATGAATATAAGAAGTTACAAGTTTTTCAAGAAGCCGAAAGAAGTTCCGTGTTACAATTACAAAGGACTATGGACTCACGACGTTTGTGAATTATTGAGAGAGAGTGAGATAGAGAGAGAGAGATTAAGAGAGAAGACATAAATATTCTAAAAATGAAACCAAGAACATAATAAAACTAAAACATCGCCAGCTCTCTTGTTGATTGAAAAAATGCCGTTAATCAAAATGCAAAATAAAATACTCTGCTTGTACTCATCTATGTACGTTTTCCTTCTCGTTCTATTCGAATTGTGGTCAATTTACAATTAAAATATCTCTTCGATTACAACTTCGATTTTGTTCGTTCGACTAATAGTTCGGCACTTTCACTCTTCGTTACTTTCCGACCAGAAAAATGGCACAAGGTGCAGCCGAATTTCGTGTCTTTTTTTTGTTTTGTTTTGGTTTTTTTTTTTTTTTTGTTTTTTTTTACACATATCTACACACATTGGTAAAGCATCACAAATTTGTTTTTACTCTAATGAACGTGAACTCACGCTTTTAATTCTTTGATTGTTTAAAATAAAAATTATATCTAACAATTATTATCAATCGTATCTAATTAACAATTTTGAACATTTGGCAACTTCGATGAAAATCTATGTACACAAATAAATGTGTTGTTCAAGTGGTTTCGCATCTTTTTCAAGACGACGTAGCGAAATTAAGCGAAGAAACGGAAAGATATGTAACGTTACCGCGCGTCAACACAATCACACGTGACAAATATCACACTCCGAAACCATCAGAACGACGAATTTTGAAAATACACATTTGTATCACATAATCGAAAGGCGGTCGGCGATGTCAGTTTCTCTCCAATTAACCCCGGGAGCACGGGCCGATCCGTAACTCTTCGCAAAAGAAGTTATTTGCGATTGGTAGTGAACTCCTCCAACATCTCATCATGATGTGCCTCAAAAGGGCAACTTATACATATTTTACAAATATGTTAATTATAATTAACAAATATATTAATATAATTTATATTGTAATGTACATATGTATATATTAAAAAATATAAACAGAAATCTCGCGTTTATTGATATCTTGTGAAAAAAAAGTTTTCATAACTCTCTTGTTAAGAGAGATAGAGAGAGAGATAGAGAGAGAGATAGAGAGAGACAGAGAGAGAGAGAGAGAGACGAACGAATTAAGGCGGTCGGCGATGTCAACGCAGTTTCTCTCCAATTAACCCCGGGAGCACGGGCCGATTCGTAACTCGCACAAGAAGTTATTCGCGATTGCTATTTGAACTCCTCTAATATCTCATCACGATGTGCCTCAAAAAGGCAACTTATATATAATATTAATGTATTTTACAAATATATTAATTATAATTAACAAATATATTAATATAATTTATATTGTAATATACATATATATATTAAAAAATATAAACCGAAATCTCGCGTTTACAGACGTCTTGTGAAAGAAAAGAGTTTTTTTCATGTCTCTCTTGTTACACACTTGGTGTAATTATCCTAACGTCATATACATATACAGAGATATGGTATTCTACTTTTTACAATAAAGATATCTATCGTTAAAATTTATATATATAATTCTTTGGATGTTGAACAAAATTGGAAGTTTTTTATTTTTTTCATCATTTCGCGGCAGAGGTAAGTTTAATACTGAAAAATACACTGTCGTGGAAACGTGTAACGCAGTTAGTGGGCGACACGACGATAACGATTTGAACGCTGATTATGGTAGCGAGGAAATTTGTGAAACTTTATCGTGACACTTGTTCTCTTATTAACTTCGCGTCTCTCTCTCATCACCGTGGACCAGGAAGAAGTTCGCCGGTAAAGTTTCCCATATTTCCGTTGTTTAATTTTAATGATAAATGACAACGACGATGATGGTATTAATTTACGGCGAGAGTACACTATAAAGGATGTCCCAAAAACTGGCAGTTTCTCTCAAATGTCATGTACGGAGAATAGAGAGATTTTTTTTTTTTTTTTGGAAGACTTAAACTGTGCTACTATATCGACATAAATGGAGAGATTCGCGAAAGTTTGAAAGAGAAGTTTTTACGTCGCGTTGCGAGTGTTGTACAACGAGTTCGAATTTTTTTTGTTTTTGTTTCAAATATCTCAACATGAGAAATTATTACGCCGTCGTTTCAACCGGTAACGATTATCCTGTTCGATAGGAGAAGCGCGATAATTCTGGGACACTCTGTATAGATAATTTTTTTTAATACTTATGTGGCATACAGAGATTACTGTATTTACGTGTTGTTCCTGTGTTGTATGTGTGTATAATAATCTTATTTACGCAATTAAACATTGTTTTTTCGCTATTTCTCTCTTCGCAATACTTAGTTTTCGTCGGAAGATCCGCTAGAACTTTCTGGCATGGTGTTGAACCAATTTTCACGAGCCCCAGAAATCCTAAATGGTATTTCAAAAACAGTATTTTAAAATCTGATCTTTCTGAAAAATCTTTTGTACGCACCAATGTGTGTTCATTTTTGTAAATCGTAATAAAGTATTGCTTATATGTGTATATGTACATATATATTTCCACAATTCCATAACAATGAAGAATGAAACGTTGACAGAATGTTACCTTGTACGTTGGCGTGTACTCGTCGGCAGTGTAAGTGAGGTTCTATAATACTGCGGTGTGGCACTTGATGCTGCGTCGTCCGGTCTTCTGTGCAGCGTCATGGTTTCGTGATGTGACGCGAGCAGCTCGTCCTCGTTATCCAGATAATAGCGAGAACCTGTCGCGCTCTTGCAGTTCTCGCACTCGCTCCGATAGTCGTCCGTGTCGTCGTGCAAAGTCGGTAAAGCCTGTATGCTGCAAGTGCACGTTATCGAGTCGAAGCTGCCGCTCGCGTTGATCTCGTTAGCTACGCTCAGCGAAGGCTGCAACAAGTAATGAAAATATTGTATTCAGCGAGATCATCGCAGATATATGTGTATTTTTTACAAATTTATAAATTGTCGTTTTCTGTACCTTAAACTCTCGAGGTTTCTCCGATGCGTCCGCCACGTTTGCCGTATACGTTTCGGATTGCGTTAGACCGGACGCTGACGCCACAGGCGCGTCCGTGTAAAATGCATCCGATTCTTTGATGCTCTTGTAATTGCTCGGACTCGCCAGAGCCGCTGACTGTTGCACGGAACGCGACAAGCTCTGCGGCATCGCCGCGATGTTGCTCGGCGACAAGCAGAGATAGTCCTTCGCCGAGCAATCGGTCAGCACGTCCATCGCTTTGCTGATGACTCGGGTGGTCAGTGTCCGCGGAACCGTGCGATGGGAGCACACGTCCGAGTTCGAAAGAGTCGCCGATATCGTGAACGCGCCGCCGCCGCTGTTGCCGTTCTGCAACGGCAGAGTCGACGTTTGTTGGCGATAACTCTTGGGTATCGTGGAGTGCGATATCGGTAGCAACGGTTGCGCGCTGGCGCTGGTCACTCCGGAGTGTTGACTGTTGTTAAAACTCATCGCCGGAACAGGCAGATTCTCGTACGTGTTTGTTCCCATTGTGAAACTCGTGGTGGAGGTGTTTGTATTCAAACCAGCGGTGGACGTCGCGCCGCTCTGACTGACCGGTCGGTAACTGCCGGTCGCGAACGTGCCGGGACTGGAGAGCGGTCTGTTCGACGCGGATATCAACGGAGTGCTTACGTGACTATCGTTGGATGACGCTTGCGTGTTAACAGTCAATTCGCTCCGGGCGTTTGTGACTACCGCCACGCTTGTGTGATTGTTCGTATTCGGTATGTAACTGTCGGAATAATTCATCGGCAACAGCGGATGCGGATTCATTGACAGCAACGCCAGTTCCGCTCGCGCGGCCGCGACCGCTTCCTCGTAAGGTGGCGGCGCTTCTCCTCGCGGAAAGTAAGGCGGTTTCCACAGGGAGTAAAGGCCCGTTCCGCACGGCATATCGTCCATGGGAACCCCGTGGGGCAACCCACCTCTCTCCAAATAACCCATATTACCTAAGCTTCTTTGGTCCTCTCCAAGTTGTCTGTTCTCGCGACCTGTCACACAAACTGACACACCAACCACGTTTTTATAACAAACATAGTTGCGGAAAAATAAAATCTTAATTCCAAATGTATTACCTTGCATTTTACTTTGACACAGATAGCGATACACCAGAAGAACTAACAAACACAGCGAAAATAATCCCGTCACAAAAATGGCGACTGATCCTAGACCTATATCATAATTTACATTTCCGTCTAACGCGTTAGTCTCGGTTCCATCACCCTTGTTAGTCGATGTATCATCCAGGCAGATAAACTCGCAACAAGTATCACCTCGGCGATAAGACTTGCAATTTTCCTGTTACACAGAAGAAAACTTTTTTAACACATACTTCTTCTATGTAAGTTGCGTTAGTTTATTTCGAAGTTATTTTAGATTTATTTCGATTGGTAAACTTTTTTTGCTGTGTGTTTACACATACCTCAAGAAATTTGCAATAAAACGCCTTACACCACTTCGGATTGCCGTTATCACAAACGCAAAAGGTACATGGTTCAGGTCCTGGGATGTAATGGTAACCACTTTCAAAGGAGTTTCCATGTTGATCTTTACAGGCAGCTCCACCATCTGCTTGTACTGTGAAATATTAATAGACACTTGTTGTTATCGCAAAAGTGAAAAATAAGAAACAACAAACATTTATAATGCCTATGTCATTACTTCTACTCGTGTTATCGCGCAAATATTTCTGCGTTTTTTTGTCCGCACAATTTATTAATTACAAGACAGTGTTAAACGAAGATCCAACGTGCTTGCGAAATTATTTTGTTTTTTTGCTTTTTGTTTCGCAAAGATACGCAAAATCGAATCTCACCGAGCGTCATTTTTATGGAACACTTTGCAAAAATTGCGTGCACAATTTCATCTGCGTGAAACTTAATTCACCGACAATCGTAATAATTGAAAACACGGGTGAGCACACATCACACATCCATACATACACACATACGCACATATCCACTTGGCGCGCGCGTATGTACTTTTATGCACGTATGTATATATATAACTTGCCCCATTTTTTCTGGTGGCCCTCGAGCGTTCAGACTTGAAGCCGATCGTGCGGGCACAATGCGCGCACGGTAATCAATGAGCATTACAAAAGAAAAGGCAAAGTAGACCGGAAAGAGAGCGGAGAGGAGATTCCACGTCGTCGCGCGGGCTGTTGATCGCGCGCCACGGCGCCGCGTAATAAGCCGTAATGAACTCACCCTTGAAGCGAGTGAGGGTGAACGTGAGGACCGCATAACCGAATAGGTTACCGCTGCTGCTGTGTCTCATTCTGCCTCTGTTATCTCGTCATAGCTCCTGTGTGTCCCGGTGCCGTGACGACGGACGATCTTTACGGCGAACGAATCTGTTATCTTTTTTTCCTGCGATCCGATGTATCCGTCGATCGGCGGCAGATCAGCGGGCTGTTAAACGTCGCGCATCGACGGTGGGATCACGTCTCATCTCGCTCCCGTTCCACTCTCCGTCTCGTGGGAACTGATACGCGCACCGTTCATGCCATCATCACACGCGCTCTCACACACTCGACTAACTACATCTCTTCCGAGTGACGTAGTCTAGGCGCGCTTATTGCCGCGGGATCGCCTTCTCCGGATTTGCCTTTCGAGGGCGACTCGGACGGAGGACGCCGAGAGAGAGGGACAGAGAGAGAACGACTCTCGGAATGATCGATTAATAAACGGACGCGGGCTGTCTCCGCGCGAGCGAAATGTCACGCGACTCCCGCGTCATCTTCGGATAGAGTTGAGAAAATTGTCGTCGATTAACCACGGTCGGTTATCGTTAATCTTGCGAAATTTATTTTATTTGCAATAGGTGCGAAGTGGTGTCATGTTAGCACAACGCTTCGCTCTCTTCCCGTTTGGAAATTGTGTTTACTCTGAAGTTGACGTATGTCGATCACCAATTGATATGTCATCACGTTATAACGTCTCTCTTCGGTCTTTTCAAAAAATTTCACGAAATCCGCACCAAGTCTTTTTACATACTCTCATTATGGATCGATAAAAACATGTTCTAATTTGTATTAAATATTTCCAAATTATCATGTGTTCACGTATACACAACAAACACAAGCTAGATGTAATTCCTTATCATTTGAAATGAATGATCAAATAACCGAATAAGCATGCGTGATGACATTAGAATTGCTCTGTAGAAGAGGTGTAAAAGCAGGATTTGAGGTACCTATCTTAAAGAAAAATATTCAAGCATGACCGCGGAGGAAGATGAAGAGAATGTCGTCGAGAGAGAAGTCGCTAAAGGTGAACAGGATGACGTATTGGAAAGGCGTCCACAATTGGAAAGAGAGATTAAAAAGTTGAAGCCTCGACCGAAGTTGGTAGCGTCGAAAACTGCTAAAGTAATTAATTACTTAAACACAATTTTGTTTTTTATAATTTAAACATAAATATATTACAAATTTTTTCAACAACAATAATTTATTAATATTTTTTTCAAACATTTGCAGCGCAACGCGCTGCAAGTGGTCGACGGACTTGCGTCGGTACGGATCGAGGAATTGGCGCGACCGACGAAACAGCGCGCGTTGATGACGTTGCGGGAGAAAGCGACGACTTTGCCGCCGATGTTCGTGGATAATCTAATCAGGATCGTCGAGGCCGCAACCTGCTTGACTCCCGAGTGACGTATCGCTGCATATTTCAAATTTAGCTCCGTATAACAATAACTTCGAATTCTTATTTTCGATTCAGAAAAATTGATTTTGACGTGTTCGACAATGTTTCTCTCGGCAGGGAAGCCGCGCGAGTTATCCGGCGGAAGAAACGCAAAGCGAGAAAGGCGGCAACGCGGTTTCCGCACGTGGAAAAACGGGCGGAGGAGATCGCGAAGGACACGACGTACGAAACTCCACTGGACAGGGACGCAACAATGTGTCAGTATTTGCTGGCAAAGCGTTTGGTCAGGTGCATCTTGGAGTATAATTGTCTGACGGATAGGAAGGACATTCGGGATATCGCGGAAGTGATACTGAAGCGCTTGACATTGCCTGACGAACACATAGACGCGCAAAACGGCGATCGGACGACGCAGCAATTGCGTCTTCTGGCCGACGTGGTGGCCTGTTGGATAGCCGACGTACTCGTCGAAGTCGCCAAGACTCGCGAAGAGGCCTTGAAGAAGTATTGCGAGAAAAGGCGGATGAAGAGGACAGACGTAGATGACGACGTGGACTCGAAACAAATAGCACTTGAAATAAAGCAAAAACTTCAGCAAGATAATGCGGAGGAAGAAAGTGAAAGACCGATAGAAAAAGAAGAAGATGAACAATTCCGGGAAACGGAAGAAATAGAAGTTCGTGCAGAGACAATTTGAAGTTTTTAACGGAAAAACAGACTACTCCATCTAACGGCAATACGCGACATTAAGGTAAAAGTAAATACGTACATGTCACCGGAGATAGGACAAAACAAACAGCGAGAAGTAATACCGACATTTGTATTAAACTATAAAGAAAAAGAAGAAACAAAATGTATAAAATATAAGAGACAGAAAATTGTCTTAGAACAAGAGCTGTAACAATAAAAAAAAAAAAAAAGACAATATAACCTAATTCAACTTCATGATAACGCGCTATGTTTTGTGTTTCTGTGTGGTTTGCTGTTTATCGCTCTATCGTTAAATATTCCGCCGTTGATGCGTTCGTACATTGTTCGCGTGCACCTGACGCAAGCTGCAATTAACTTCGAAAGAGCACGTGATGATGGGTGTATCGTATATCGATCAAACTAAACTCGTTCAGTTTACGGTAAAAGCGGTTATATTCACGAACGTCTGAAAACGAAGTGATCTCATACACTAATATATACATATATTTAATAATCTATTACACACCACGCGTATATATTGAGCTCAGAATTTCTCATCAAAAATGGTAATTCGATTTTATTTTATAACATATATTTCTATTCTATTTCTGGTTAAATTCTGTGCTCTTTTAATTTATATTTGCATTTAGTTTTTTTTTCTAAGAATTATAATTATTTTTTCAGAAAATTTTTGTACGACAATTTTTTTCTCTTTAATATTTCAGGCATCCACATCCAAGAAGCAAAGTGGCAGTGCTGCTCGCAGGAAGAGTACAGTAAAGTTTGAACTGACAGAGGATCAAAAAACTGATATAAAAGATGCTTTTGATTTGTTCGATCCAGATGAGACTGGAAAAATTGCAACCAAGGAGCTCAAGGTCGCCATGAGAGCTCTGGGTTTTGAACCAACAAAAGAAGAACTGAAGAAACTCATAACGGATGTGGATCCGGAAGGTCTTGGCAAAGTATCTTACGAAGATTTTCTAGATGTGATGACGGTCAAAATGTCGGAAAAAGACTCGAAAGATGAGATACTCCAAGCTTTTCGTCTCTTCGACGACGACGATACGGGAAAGATATCTTTCAAAAATTTGAAAAGAGTGGCCCATGAATTGGGAGAGACTCTGACAGACGAGGAAATACAGGAAATGATCGACGAGGCGGACAAGGATGGCGACGGAGAGATATCGCAAGAGGAGTTTCTAAGAATCATGAAAAAAGCATATTTGTATTAAATTAACGCAGTAAAGAACTTAAATTTAGGAATAATCCTTTAAGTTTAGGGAAAAACCTCGAAGACTGATGAAGATATTTAGCACAATTATTTTTTATTACATACTTTGTGAAGAACTATTTTTTCACATACAAACTGCCGTCTTTGTAAACATCCAATATATGAAAATAAATACAACGATATCACTATTTTGTACTTCATAATACAGTATTTCTTTACTGAGAAAACAAATATGTTTTAATTGCATTCTGATTTTTACTTCTACACAAAAGTGTATTTCTCACTCTTTTTCTCTAAATAATAAAGAGCATAAATTATTTCCTCTCAATTTTTATTAAGGTACAAATATATTATGCAACGTAAAAGATGTTTATGAATAAAACACTGTTTTATATTCTCAAGTATCTGTTTCAATACTGTTCACTCTTAACGTCGAAATAGCTGCCTCAATTACTGATCTGACTAACTTCGATCTTGTTTTTGCTAGTTCTATTCCTTTGGAGAGCAAATTTTGAGAGATCGGAATTCCGCCTGTTAATTTAAAATATATAATTTATATATACATGTGTATGTAAAAAAACAATATGTGAGTACCAGAAACGAAGAATACTTGCCAGGCTTATTTATGTAACAAATCTGTTCGTCGTCGTCCATTACAATGGAGAACTTTCCTGACGATAACTCTTCCTCGTCATCTGTAGGATCCGCTATCAGTAACGGACTACAATTTATATAATCAAATTAGCCAAGAAGATAGACCAAATATATATTGTAATTAATACACAAAAATATATACTTTATCCATAATCAATTAAAACTGACTTCTCAAATAGCGCAAACGACGTGGAGACTGGTATTGTTCTCACGGTAAACGGTTTCCTATTTTTGGGCTGCACAACGATAACTCCCGTTTCGCTGCTGTAATTCACTTCAGGTAGGGTCACTGCGAAGATCTTTCATGAAATACATAGTGGCGAAAACAATCGGATGTGCGAAATAGATATTATTATATTAGAATTCTCTCAAATCAACAGCAGCACAAACGCGCAACGTTATAAACTTACGTGTTTTGAGAGCCGCGAATAGCGCTCCGGTGCAGGCATCTATAACCGAGCCATTGTAATTTAAACACGAGATATCGCAGTACAATACCCATACCAGTTTATTTTTGCAAATGCAAAGATCTTTCAAATCAAGCGCTGTCGAGTTACTCAATATAATATCTATTGACTTAGACAGTACTTGTGCTTGCTCGCTCGGCGGGCCGGGACGAAATTTCGACGAACACAAGGGTGATAAATCCACATTTGCTACTACGTATCCGTTATCCGGTGTATCCGATTTTGGTGTCGCCAATTCCTGGAAATTGATGATTTTTTATAAGCATACTGATCGCAAACTTTATCTAATCTACAATCGTATTTTTAATTTTTATATATCTCATAAAATTCTCGCTCGCTCGCATTTTCACATACGCTCACGTCGCTTAACCAAATCCGTTTTAATTTTTATAAAATCCGAATTTATTGAAATATGTAAACAATATGAATGTGTACAATAAATGTATAGTAAAGCATTGTGCGAACAATGTACTTACAGCTTTGATGCCGCAAACCGCAGTTGTGTCGCCCAACTTGAATATTGCTGAACCGTCCGCCTGAACAATCGACGAGACGTTGACGCTTACTGGACGGAACGACAAGAATTTTCTACCATCTGGCCGAATTTCTTGATCCTGCAAGAACGCCGGACGTCTTTAAAATAGAATTTCTTTCATTCACGTATCTCTGTGCAGAAAATACTTACGAGATGGTCTTGCAAATATTTCGAAGGATGAATCGTTCTGCAAATATGTTTAAACATGTAAAAACACATTTAAAACGGTTAACATTCTTACGTCGCTATTAGAGTTTAGAATCGTTTTTTATATTTTTAAATCCGGTTCTGTAGTCTAATTACAAGTAGTTTTTTACATTTATTGAAGAAGAGAAAAGTTAGAAAGTTGCTATAAGTTGTCTCTTTTAGATAACAAAAAAATATTTACTTATCGTGCATTTCGTAAATTTATTTGACAAGTAAAATACACACTTGTATTGTAAATCCATGTTGTTTATGTTATATTTCGATTTAAGAACTACCTAAAGATTGAGTTAACTAACCACGTGCTGAACCAAGTAACGCCATGTTAGTTTGGTTTGGTGCGCTTGTGGTTAGTGGACCTATAACGGTTAGTCCATTCTGAGACTGGCTTGTGTTTGGTGGGAGCAGGCGGTAGCCTTCCACCAGACGGCGCTCATTCGGTAGAAATCATAGACGTATAATAAGCATATATGTAATACTCATATATGTACATATATGTAATACTTCTATATTGCTAGTCGCGTATCTTCGCAATGAGAGGCACGAGGCCCGAGAAAGGGAGACGCACGAAGTCCAAATTCAGGGATGCCAGATTCCGGCCGCTTGGTAGCATGCGGTAGCATGGAGGGGATACGCACACAGCTTCATGCCGTGTACGTGTGCGCTCGAGCTTCGGAGTCCGAACACGGCATGAAGCTGTGTGCGTATCCCCTCCATGCTACCGCATGCTACCAAGCGGCCGGTATCTGGCATCCCTGGTCCAAATATGAGCATAGATGGTCAAGCGTCATTATGCGCAGGCGCATCTACCAAGTGAGTGCGAGCGAGACAAAGCATTGGAAAGTGAGAGAAAGAACGCGAGAAAGAGAAATGCGCAAGCGTGCTTGAATGTTCACTGCATGCGCACAAAGCAGCTGGACCTTGCGCGAGAGAGAGACTACTATCAGAGAGAAACCTGAGAGCGGCCATCCTATTGTAATTTTTTACGACGGTTTCAGCCGCTGGTTTTAGCCGTATTTTCACAAAAGTGGAACTCAAAGGCCGTTCTACATTAAACGCAAGTAGCAGATCTC